TGTCTGTGGGTGGACTTGGACAAAGTTTATACTAAACCTTGGACTCTAGAGAACAGATTTGTATGAATTCCATGGGAAATAAAAAATGGGAAATAGTGCCCATATAGCTAAATACCACAAAGCTGCCAATACACAATATGAAGTCTCTGACTGGCATTCTCTTCTCACAACAAGCCTTGTATAAAAATGATAGCTGTGTTGTTCTTCAGGACTATTGTAAAGTACATTAAAAATGCAGTCCTGATATATGGAGAAAATGACAGAACTGCAGTCAGCAGAGAAAATGAAACAATACAGAAGCCAGTAAGATAAGACAGTGATAGTTATTTATACTGACAAATGCCAGGTACACAGATTAAAAATAAATCAGTGCTAACTAACTACAAGGCTGAGACAGAATTATCACATCAAGTGACAATTAAAACTGTGGTGATCTTTGTAACAGCCAAATGCCATCAGCAAAGAAAAAATAAAACCAAACCAAACAACCTAAGGAACTGTTATGCTCTCACATTGCTCTGTTTATACCAGCATAGACCATTTTTACAGAAAGACAGATAGGAAAATATACTGTGTTTTCTAGCCACAGTATAATTAACAGAGGCGCTTTCTTTTTGTATTTATGAAATGTCCTGATTCATTGCCTGCAATTAATAAAATGGCAGTGCTAAAGGATGTAAATATTTAAATATTACGGAGTATGAAACAAGTTCAATAAAATGTAGCTCTGGCTGTCATTTGCAACTTTAAGCCAGAATTCAGCAGCAATAAAAACTGGTGAAAATGAGCACTCACACCATCTAAAAATGCTGCGACCCAGGCCTCAGTAAAGACACCATGAAGACTGCTAAATCTATTGAATCCATGCTGAAACAAATGGAGCTATTCTAGAATTTAAAAATAGACAATAAGCAATAACACAACATCTACATTCATTTGCAGGTGGGCAGCAGTAAGTACTGAGGCAACATGAAGACTCTAGTGTTTATTTTTCCCCACTCTTCCAGGCTATTGGTCTTCCTTTTAATAGAATGGCTTAATGGCTTTCTTGAAGCTACCCTTGGCTATGCTGGCCCCGATACAGGTGTTAAAACTGAACCCTCACACTTTCATAAGGCCCAGGACACCTGTTTAATGAACACACTTTCCTTTGCATGGCTCTTCTTCATTAGGGGTGGATGACTGGCAGGCTGCATGTTGCAGTAACTTGAATAAAAGGGGATCGAAGTTGTTTTCTGATAACTAACATTTCCATAAACCACAGTTCTATGCTAACAAATTTGAAGTCCCACTACGGACTGAAAACTTAAGAATAAATTAATAATCTTGTCTCATTAGGACCTACAACCTAGGAATGAAGTGCCAGACTACTCTGTGGTCTGCTGGTTGTCAGGTACAAGAAATACTGCTTGTAGGATTTAAGATGGATGCATTTTACATTATAAAAACAAAAACATAATTTATATCACTATGGAATTCACCATTTTGTGAGGGCCATATTGTGTCATTGATTTTTAAGCAGAAGTTTCTACCAAATCAATAAAGAGTTTGCATAAAAATCAATGACATTATATGGACTTCAGAAAAGAAGAAACAATAAAGTACCTAACCATATATATTTTTAATTTTCAAACACTGACAAAGGTTATATTTTCCTTATGAATAATATTATTACTATCCATTACAATAAATAACAGAGAAATTCTTATTTGCTAGGTACATGCTGAAGAATCTAAATAGAAAGGATTTATAATTGCGAGGCTGGAAATCCTAACAAGTTTTGAAGAAGGAAAATGAAACCACTCTAGAAAAATAACTGCACTTCTTATTCTAAATTTAGGGCAAGATTTTCTGTTCTGATTAGAAAGGCTATGTTTTAGATCTTAATAAAAAGAAAGAAAAAAATGTGGTTTAAAGGTATCTATAATTCTACCTTCAGAAAGGATTAAAAATGAGAGAACTCCCATCTGCTCATGATCCTTTAAAAAAAAAAAAAAAAGGTTTTTTAAGTTGTGCTCAAGACATTTCAATGTTTTTAATCTAGAGCAAAATATTGTTAGGTGCAATGGGTACAAACTTCCCACTTGCCTTATCATTTGTATTCTATGGATTTTATTCCAGCAACAAATCTTTAAGACAGGACCCTACCACACTAGAGAACTGCACTCAATATATTTGGTATGTATTTCTATTAGCAGCTTTTTTTATTTAACAGTTCACATGACCTTTTGTGCTTCTCTCTTCAATGCATTCAACAGTCTATGACATCAGGTTCAGACTGTGTTCATCCATAATTGAATTCCAAGACTTCCAAACTCCTGTACCTCTCTTGATCCATGGTTGCAGGGTGCATGCCTAGTTTTTATGGCAAAATCTTAGTAACCGTGAAACATAGCAAAAAAAAAAACCAACCCCAACCAAACAAACACAGAACTCAAAGTATCCTTCTGAATTGCCCAGCCACAGACAGGAGTTGGAAATAAACTTTAAAAAGTGGTGGGATAGTCTGGGATAGTCAACCCCCCCAAATCACACTCTATTCAATTTAACTGCTATACCACTGTTATTTGCTGAGGAGGCTCTGTACATTACAGTTCTCCCAGCAGAGCTCTGCCTCTGGCCATGTCTGTCAGTCAGGGAGCTTTTAAAATGTTATACAACACCAAAAGTAATGCAAAGAGATTGAAGAACTTCAATGAAAGGAGAACAATTCCCCTTTGACTGGGAGGTTAGTAACTAAGTGTAAAACACAGAGCACTTTAACCCCTTCTCTGTCGTTCTCCTGGACTGCCTTCCAGAACACGTGCTGCAGAGGCAGGAAAGAGCAGTTCATTACCTTCATTACCTACAGCTTCAAAAAGCTGATGAATGGGACAGTCAGAGAAAAATGGGTAGCTAATAGGTGGTGTAGTACAGGACTGCAGCACAGATGCCCTCATCAGTGTTCACTATGAAGAATTTTCTTTTTTTTTTTATTTAAAGCTCAGCAGCTAGAAGGCCAATAATTGAGAATCCAGTACTTTGGCACTCAAGAGAACCACTCCAGCTTGCTGCTGTGTAACGCCTGAGCAGTGGGAAACTGAGGCAGAGGGTCTCCCCCTGATACCTCTTCTTCCCCAGCATTTCATTGCTGGCTTTGGAAGAAGCCTGGTGGAAGTGACCTGATAGAATATATTTAATAACACAGCTGGAACTTGTACAGCATTTCAAAGGCTAAGGCCAATATTTCTTTTAGTCTGTATTTACTGTTTGGCATTTTCTTTTTAACCTATGTGTTAGTCTTCCAGCCAGGATACCTAAACCTCTCTTGGTGCTTTTATGTTGTCTTATGCTCATTAGACATTTAAATCTAGCACCCTCATATACCTCTGCCGGGAAAACTGCTATGAGGCCTAGGAGATAAGGATTTAGAAATCCAATCAGAACATTTAGCCATAAGGAAGGTACTATATTGCCTAAATTTTTTAAGGAATTATTTACTCTGATGCTCAGAGATACTTACCTAGTAAGAGAGTTGTGCACAGACACGCATTCTCAATGCATCTCTTCCCCACACAATATGAAAGTACAGAAGGCCAGATTTTTCTTAGATCTTGTTTTTTTCAAGATTAGCTGTGCTAGTCATATCTTCAGACTATTTTATGTGGATTTAACGATTATGTGTGACTTAATTAGCCCATAAAGAGAGCTACAGAGGGAGAACCTGTATGAATTTATCCCCACACATACTTTTATACACTGAGATTACATTTATTCATTTCCCCAGTTTGAAAAAGTGAATGACCCAGCAGCAAGCATGGACAATCTGTTAAAACATGATAATTAAGAAATCTTGATCCTATTTACTCTGTCCTCACAACTATAGGCTTAGAAACTCATTAAATACAAATGATGAAATATCCCTACTAAGATTATTTATTGAGAACAATGAAATACAGTATAAATGGTGCACCTGCAAGAATTTTGATACTGACCTGGATTATGCTGTCATTAATCTAAACAGCCTGAACTCAGGAATGTTTTCAGAATAGCAAAACTGATGCCTGCCATTACTGCTGCAATAACCCTTAATCAAAGGGAGCCATGGCACTGCACACACAAATCACCTCACCAAGCTTGACAAAGGTTGTTCCTTCTAGAGAGGACAGCCATACATCCTCTGCAGTCACTAGTGTGCACATAAGGCCTGATTTAGAGAAGTCTTTGAAAGGAAATTCTAAATTATTTTTCATCTTATGGTTTAATGCCAGCAGGCAGCTCAGGCCCACCCAGCCGCTTGCTCACTCCCCCTGCAGTGGGATGGGGAAGAGAATCAGAAGGGTAAAAGAAAGAAAATTCATGGGTTGTTGAGATAAAGATAGTTTAATAGGGGAAGCAAAAGCTGCATGTGCAACAAAGGAAAATAAGAAGTTCATTCACCATTTCCCATGGGCAGGCAGTTGTTCAGCCA